CCATTGTTGCTGCAAAGAATTGGAAAAGGCACCTGAATCCTCCATGATCGTTATCCCAAGTCATTCTATATCTACATGCAGCTCGTGGATATCAAACCTTTACATGATAGCTATATTGATTTCAAATTCCAAATCTTCTTAGTACTAAATTTCTTGATCAATTTTTCTATGTGCCATTAACTGTTTTTATAGCATCTCAGGGCTAGAAAGCTATTGACCTGCTCCAAGTTCAACTAAAATTTCTATTTAACAAGGCTTTATAACCTTTCCAATTTTATTTGATTAGATGACATTTTAAAAAAGCAAAACATCTTTAATTTTTTTCCTCAAAAGACCTAACCAAGCGAAATATTGCCCCATCCTTGGGATTGTGATGGAAGAGAATTGTGATGGAAAACTAGTGCATTTTGTACAGTAGGTAACGTTTCTACTCTATTGTTCACAAAAGTATAAACGGTTCAACTTTACTTTGGTGGAATGTCTACTTTATCATTCATATTTCCCAATATACATGACAGCCTCTCATTTTTAATCACTTTAAAGTTCAGTTATAGGCTTCATATATTCAGGGAAGGCTATTTCAGCAAATAAAGCAACACATGTTTCTTCATGAAGAGTAAAAAAACAATGAATAACAGATTCTGTATTTATTAGTATTTAACAACATATTGATTATGTGCTTATGCAGGAAACAAGCAAAGCTCATTTTGAACTCCATAGTGTTGTCATATGTAACTTCGTTGCTTGGAATTATTTATTTTAATACTTAAGATCTCTTTACGTTGATTTATCTATTGTTAAGAAGGGATACATTTTAACTAAAATATTAAAGCTAAACAATGTCGTCATTTGAGGCCTTTATGTGTTTTCTGTTTGTTTGTTTGTTTTTTAGTTAACATGAATGGAATCAAGGACTATCTGGCTTTCTGCATCCACAGACTACCCTCTCTTGCAGTTGCAATCATTTGACCTTTGACCTAGAAGCCAGCTCTGCCTCAGCTTCTGGGCTCTCTTTTAACCTGCATTAGGGATAATTCTAGGAAATACAGACCAATCTTTGGTTGACTCAGCATCCTCAACCTAGCTGCGAGTGGCTCCAACAGGTGCTGCCCTTCTAATTGTTGATATTCAGCTTCCTTACTCAGCTGCTGATTGCAGGATTCTATGACAATAAGAGTACCTTGGTTTAAAGCCCCACTTCACCACTGTCCTTGGTTTGGGTAAGTTATTTCACTTTCTGAGCTTCAGATACATTATCTCTCAAAAGTTGGTAGAAATATTTATGTTACTGTTATACTAATACCTAGCTTTGGTCTGGCAAATACAAGGCAGTTCTGTGATTCCCCCCCCCCCCACCCTTTCTCTCAAATTCCTGTCTTTATAAACTCCTCATTACACAGATTCTTACAGACCCCAGTCTCTGCTTTGCTTTAGGTAAATATCTGTAGGGACTAGAGTTCTGTGACCTGCTGTTGGGTCACTTGAATGATGGCCACCATCTGTCTGCAATTCTACCTATTAGCTGACTTGAGGGTTCCAGAGACCTGCCTCATCCATCTGTCCAGACAGCTGATGTCATATTACTGAATTTCCTCATGACTCCATATGCCTGAGTCACCACCTGTTGCCTGACACCATATTTTATAATTATTTTGGAGTATCTAGCTGTTCTCCCATCCCTGCCACATGAAACTTATATTTTATTTCTTCCTCATCTATAGTTTTGTTTTGGTCATTATATGATATAATAGATGGACCTCAAAGTCATCTACTTCCTAAATATGAATAAAGTTAATTGCCTACTTAAAGAAAAATCTCCTCCTACCCAATAAAAGAGTAACATGCAAATTAACCATCACTCTGCTCCACAAGCCACACCCACAAGTCAATCAGAGTAAGTATGCAAATTAACCCCAACCAAGATGGCTGCAGCCACAGAGGAGGTAGGCTTGGGTTTCTCTGGCAATGGAAGAAGCCAAGCTTTCTGCCTGCCCTAGCCAGCCTAAGCCTCCACTCAAGGCTACAAAGTTTCAATCATAGAAGGTAAACAAATCCAAACAGAAATGGCTGCCACCACAAAGCAAGCAGGGGGCTTGGCTCCACTCCAGGCTACAAAGTTTCAATTGTAGAAAGTAAATATATCCCAGATTCCAGGGCTTCTGCTTGGGTCGCTGGGGGGCATGGCTGGTCTGCAAACCACCACAGGCCCCTCGCCCAGGCCACTCCATGCCCCAAGGGAACCCCCACCCTGATCCGGGATACCCTTCAGGGCAAACCAGCTTGCCTTCACCCATGCAGCAGGTCCATAGCCTATGTAATAAAAGTGTAATATGCAGATTGACCAACACACCAACACACAATATGGCTGTCCCATGTGGTAAAAGATCCTGCCCCTATGTGGACACAAAATGTCCACCACAAGATGGTCATCAGGGGAGAACAGTTGGGAGGGACCAGGCCTGCAAAGAGGGGCAGTTGAGTGGGACCAGGCCTGCAAGGGAGGGTAGTTGAAGGTGATGAACCCTGCAGGAGAGGGCAGTTAGGGGTGACCAGGCCAGCAGAGGAGGGAAGTTGGGGGCAAATGGGCTGGCAGGGGAGCAGTTAGACATCAATCAGGCTGGCATGGGAGTGGTTAGTGGGTGATCAGGCTGGCAGGCAGAAGCAGTTAGGGGCAATCAGGAAGGCAGGCAGGTGAGCAGTTGGGAGTCAGCAGTCCTGGATGGTGAGAGGGATCCCAGATTGGAGAGGGTGCAGGCTGGGCTGAGGGACATCCCCTCCCCCCCAACCCCATGCATGAATTTTGTGCACTCGGCCTGTAGTAACTTATAATAATAGAAAAATTCAATATGTATTATAAAATAAAAATGCATTTCAGGAGATAATAAATCCTGATAATTTTAGCACTTGATAATTTGCAACACAGAATAGTGAATTCAAGGACTTTTCAAATTCACTACTTCTTTAGGTGACTGATGTAAATAAACCATAAGGTCTTTGAATTTTGAGAGGATGTATCCTACTACTGTCCAGAAAAGTAAAGGTAAAAGATCACAGTCCATGGAAGAGATGCCAAGGGTAAAAGGCAATCCATAAGAAGCAGCCCATGCTGACCTCTTTCCATGACAGTTCCAAAAGCTGGTGGTTCACTTGCATAGCTTACGTTCTGCCTTATTTATGAACTATTACTGGCCATTAAAAATGATTGTCTTCGTATTTCATTTTTACCTTTTGAATTTGGTTGTCATTTAAATCCAAAGTCATCACAATCACATAGAAACAGCTATCAACCGGCTTACTTATATAATGCATTTTAAAAATTAGAATATTTCTTAAAGAATAGCTCATGGATTTTCTTATTCATTCTAGTTTTAGTGGCAGTATATCACCATCTATGTCTGAATCTATATCTATATCTACATAAGTATGTTTATCTATTTCTATGTTTATATTCAGTAAAAGTAGAAAATTAATGTAATCCTATATACTAATAAAAACTTAATATGATGTGTCCCATTGTCCAGTTGTCTGTTCAACCAATCAAAGTGTAATATGCTAATGACATGATAAGGCTGCCCAACTGCTCACTATGATGTGCACTGACCACCAGGGGGCAGATGCTCTAACTGGTAGGTTAGCTTGTTGCTGGGGTCCAGCCAATTGGGACTGAATATGACAGGCCAAAGATGCTCTGGAGCCCTCCCACAGTCCCTCTCTGCCTCACCAAACTCCTGCATCCTTCCCAGGCCCTGATCTTGCATCACTGGATTCCTCAGCCTCGCCTGTGCCCTCTTGCAATCCCTCAGGGGATGTCGGAGAGTCGGTTTGGCCTGATCCTGCTCAATGCAGAAACTGCCCCCTGGTGGTCAGTGCGCTCCCACAGGGTGAGCGCTGCTCAACCAGAAGCCAGGCTCATGGCTGGTAAACACAGCAGTGGTGGTGGGAGCCTCTCCCACCTCCATGACAGAGCTAAGGATGTCTGACTACTAAGCTGTCAGTCAGACATACCTCGAGGACTCCCAGACTGCTAGAGGGCACAGGCCAGACTGAGAGAACCCCCTGTCCCCCTCCAAGTGCATAAATTTCATGCATTGGGCCTCTAGTTCATTAATAATCAGATAATTAGGAGTACAATACTATATTTACTGGTATTCTTTAATAATACTATGAGGTCACCTGAATTTTTCCCATTTTCTTTTACTCTTTTGATGTTTAGATCTGCGAAGAATTTTAGATGATTTAAGTAATTATCTTGTCTATTTCTCACATTACAGTAAGTGGCATTGTAATACTCTGAATTTACTACTGCACCTTTCTGTGTCCCTTAAAACCAGGAAATGGCCTAGGTCTGGTTTTCACAATAAATGGACTTAAATGCCTGCTGTTGATGGCTATGAAACAATGATACAAAGTCAATAACATTAAGTTTCAGTGACTAAAATACTCAAATTGTTAAGAAAGCAATCAATGAAAACAGCCCATGAAGATAAACCAAAATCAGTCACTAGACCTGAAACATAGCAAGTCTTTGGTCCAATGCACCAGCATCATGAAGGTTTGTTCTTCCTATGAAGAAAGACAGAAGTGCACAAGACCCTACCATAGTGTTTTTCTGAAACACAACAATTTATAATCCTCCTATCAAATCAAAAACAATCTCTTAAAAGTCTTTACAATCTAAAATATCCCCCCCACCCCCTTGTTAATGCAGTTTGGGTGTTAGAACACCTTTGGAGAAACTCCACTCTGAAAAGGAGGTAGCATGAGTTTATCAATTGTCCTGCTAAACTAAGTAGACTTTTCTTCATGGTTCAAAAATTTAACTGCATTGAAATGAACTTGAAGCCACCAATATAAGGGGAAATGTCACTAATGTTGGAAACCCTTAAAAAGTTGGCAGCATAGTATAGCTGAAAATATCCTGTCACCTCTTCAACAGGAGGTGGAATGTAATTGGGGCAAGCAAGCACCTCCCTTTCCATTCCCCCGTCCAAGTAACTCACAACTTTCAATTTCCAGAGTGCAGTTTTGTTCATCCAGAGGATATCTTCGTAGATCCATCATACATGCAGCTGTGGTTGTGATTCTGTCAGGATGAGAGAGAGAAAGACAGCATCATAAGGATGATGGCTTCCGTTTCCAGGCTTCCCAGCCCTGAATCATGTTACCAGTGGGCATAAAAATTTTGTGGTTAAATTTTTTGAAGGCAGGCAGATTGAATTTGAGTCTGTGTTTGCTGCTAACTAGTCTTGTGAGCCTGGGCTATTTAATTGAGCTCTATGAGCCTCAGTCCCCTTATCTATCATTACACCTACTACACAGGATGAATGGCAGAGAGAGGAGTGCTCCACAAATGCTGGTCATTATTATAGCTATTTTTATCCCAGAGCCCTTCCTAAAGCATCCTGGCAATGTCTCTGCCAGTATCTTCAACAAGTCCTGCCTATGAGTAGGTCATCTATTGTACATTATGCATCAAAGCCTACCATCATCTGCTACAACCTAATAATAAAACAACAACAAAATATGTCCTCCATAACTTTCAGTGCCTAACACTACCCACTATTAGAGAGATTTGTCAGATTCATCTCTGAGACCCTGGTCCACCTATACTCAATGTAACTAGGAAAGAAACACTACTTTACGATTAGTGTTCATACCACATAGTCACCAACTCCAGTTGAGCTTATGTTTTTATTCAAACCCAAAAACCCTGACTCTAGATATCTCACCTGGGTTTCCATTATCCCTCCATTTTCACTTGCCTGGGCTATAGAATCTGAGAGTAACTGAAATTCCTAGGCTATCCACTCTTAAAAACAATGCATATACTATGGAATTGAAAAAGTGCTTTTTGTTTTTTAAAAAATTGCAAGGTCTTCTCTCACTAAAGTAATGTGTGATCATAATGTAAAAAATTCAAAATATTCAAATTTAATAATAGAACAATTCCTTGCTATTTTAATTCCCAGGAACCATAACACTGAAAATTTTCCATGAATATTCCATGTACAAATAGGAGCACAGTTATATCTTCTTCTTATAAGACAACTTCTTAGACAGCTGTCTACCTGCTCTAAAGCTTTCTTGTTTTCATTAACATTGCACCTTGGAATTGGTTTTATATCAAGTAAATAATAAGCTGTCTTAAAATTTTTACTGCGATATGTTCAGTTTTATGGGAATACCATACTTTATATTCCCAGTCATCTTTTGATTGACATTTACACTGTTTTCTGTCTTTTAATTTTGCTTTGTTTTGTTTTAAATATATTTTATTGATTTCACAAAGAGAAAGAGAGAGGGATAGAGAGCTAGAACATCAATTGAAGAGAAACATCGATCAGCCACCTTCTGCACACCCCCACTGGGGATATGCCCGCAACCAAGGTACATGCCCTTGACCGGAATCGAACCTGGGACCTTTCAGTTTGCAGGCCAATGCTCTATCCACTGAGCCAAACTGGTTAGGGCCTGTGTTTTAGTTTTATAAATGAAGATGTGTTGAACATACTGGTATACCCTACTACATGGAAGGAGTTGGTTGGAAAAAGGTATATGCATTGTAAGTTTTGTCACATTGCCCTTGGTAGAGGTTGTGCCAATTTATGCTTCCACTAACAGAGTATCTAAATTTGACAAAGTACTCTTCATTCCTGTTTTTTGAGGCTGCCAAGGTGACTTATTGTTTTGGTCATGTGTGTTAGCCTAACAGGAACCTTCTTCTTAAAAACACTGTTAACAAAAGACCCTAATCCTTTCCAATTTCTCTCAGAATTTCCTTATGAAAAATTAGAGTTCACAGGATGAGCATTGGGGATATTTTAGTTTGAAGACTTTCATGGACAGGATATTGGTCAATGTAATCAGATTTATTTGAGCAATAGGCAAAAGCAAAATAAATAAATAAATAAATTCAGGTTCAATTTATAAAAACATTTATTCAAAGTGTTTTACAAAAATTTTAAAGACTAGTTATATTCCAGAATTTAGCACATGAAATAATTTTATTAGATTCTTTATTGATTCCTGCTCTTATAATTACATGAATTGATTAATGTTTTTACTTAAAAATATATTGCTTATTTTTTGTTTTCTGAAAATACAATTTCACAAGCTTATTTTTATGGCCTACAAGTATTTTAAAACACCCTAATGAGACAACACAATATTTTAAGAATATTTTAGAAATTATATATCTACCCTACTATAGTCTTTGTTTAACAGCTTCTTATGAGTAAAAGGATCATGAAAATTATCTGTAAACTAGAATCCCAGCACATGAAATCGCATGGCCCCACTGTGCTTGCAGCCCCACCCAGGTCTTTGGTCATTATGGCGTTAGAGCCATGAGATTTTTATATATATATATAGATTACTAACGTGTGTCAAGTCCTATGACCCTATAACTTAGCCAGTGGATAATTTTCCCCCACAAGGGACATTTGACAACATCTGTAGACATTTTTGATTGTCAGGCTGGTAGTGGAGGCCTGATACTTGCATCTAGTTGGTGGAGGCCAGGGATTCTACATAACATCATGCGATGACCAGGAAATCCCCCAACAGTAAAGAATGATCTGTTTCAAAAGGTCAGTAGTGCCAAGGTTGAGAAATTTGGCTTAATGGTGGTTTTCAAATCATTTCCTTTGAGGGAAACATTAATGAAACAAAATCTTAAATAGAAACTCAATCTATAAAAATAGAAATAAAATAAGTAAAAAGAGTATTCTGTTAATATAAAATTATCTTTTAAGTTCAATGTTGACATCTATTTTAATGAGCACACAAATGTGGAAGCAGGAATTATAATTAAGGCCTTAAATCTCCCTGTGCAGCAATATTTTTTCTGTTGAATTTTATTAGTATAGTATTGAGAAAATCCTAATAGTGAAAAATTTGTTTCTAAAAATCTTACAAAACCAGTCATAAGCTACCCTGAATTGGGTTAAAAAAAAAATCCATATCTATGTGCCTCTGTGATCAATGACATCTTTCTAAATCAGTAAGCTCCTGCCAGAGATCAACTACCACATTCATAGGTAGTTGATCTCTGGCAGGAGCTTACTGATGTGTTAAAAGGAAGCATTACTTGCTTCAAAGCAAAAATTCTCTATGCTCTGCATAAATTTAACCTGGCTGCATAAGTTAATATTGTGATGGTCTTGGATGCATTAAAATCTACATAGGACACTATATAGTGTACTTGTTTTTTTTTAATTATAGTTTTAAATAATTTTAACATTTTAACATAGAATTAGAATGAAATATTATTTGTGGGGCTGTTAATGAGCTTTAGAGATACTTGAAAATAGCATTTGACTCCCATTGTTCAGCATATCTCAGTTAATTGACCTCATTTTCAGACAGGTGTCATCTGATTAATTAACCACATCACATAAAAATCAGGACATGCCTTGAAATCTTATGCTGAACCACTGATTCACATGTTGTGAAACTCTGGAGTTTTTACAAAGCAATTTGAAAAGCTAACAAAGTCTTGTATGTAAAATGAATAAATAATGTCTCATGTGCATGGATCCTACAGTTGCGAGTAATTAAAAAAAAAAACACCCAACTTTTGGAAAGCACAACAGGACTTACTATTGCTATCTGTTATGATCAATCCATTCAGGAATCAATAGATAAAATAAATCTAATTGCTATTATCTTGGGAAATCATACATCACACTATGTCCATGACTTGATATTTTTTCAATTATGATAAACTGGACAAGTTAGTTTCTCTTGCCTTAAATCCTATTATGATACCAAGAAAAGCTGAGTAATCCTAACTCAGAAAGGAAGGGAATCAAGGCAGCTCCAAGAAATTGAGCTGTAGGATGTGCCCGACTTCCTCTGGAAATCTCTGAGGTTAGTAAAACATTTTCCTTCTTGGGATCTATTTGCTCCTAATGTACAATTCCCCAGAGTATTTCCTTGGTTCAACTTGGATTAGGTGACAACTCTTCCAAATTAATTAGTATAAGATGGAAGCAAAGTCACAGTTGTACAAATATAGTCACCAGGAGCCCACAAAGGTCCTGAGAAGGGAGGGATCATTGTGACTTTGACAGGACCCTCTATACATGCAGGTACTCAGAAAACGGTTGTGTGGCCTGTAGAAATTTATGCAAGAGAGCATCAGTTTCTTCTAATTTAAGGGACTGTCATTTCTACATTTTTTAAAAGGCTTATGACTAAGTTTGCTGAATGCCTTGGGCTCTTTATGAGGGAAAAAATGCTCAGAAATAATTCCCAGGATCATTAACAAATGATCTGGGTGAGAAGCAACAGTGAACATCTATAAGAATGAGTACTCCCTCCCTGTTTTTCCATTTGTTCACCTTGCTGAATGCAATTGCTCAGCAGTAGTTAGTCACCTCTGCAATTAATTAACACTTCCATATGGAAATGTGTTCACATGGTGGTGGAAGCAGCCTGATAATCTATACCTATGGAATCAAAGGTGCCAAGGATTAAAAAACAAAAACAAAAACAAAAAAACCCCAAACTGGATGGGTTGACCATTTCAAGCTTAAAAGGTTTTCTGAAATTTTTTTTTTAACTTTTCACACTCAAGTCATTAATTTTGAATGTGTAAAATTATTATTGGCCAATAGCAAATGAAGGTAGCATAGAGTATACCAGCTAAAGCGAAAACAGTAATTCCTGTTTTTCTGAACATAGACTTCCCAGAGGTTCAGATTCATGACATCCATCTGTCTTCTTTCAAAGACATTTAGAATGGCTTACATTATAATCCAATTTATTGACATTTTGAATGTTAGGTCAGAACACTATAATAGGCTGTTAGAAGCTATGGTCCCGTGATACTTGGAAGTGAATGGAAATCATATTGCTGTAGTATTCATTTATGAAGGTGTATTCTACATGGTCACTGACAGAAAAAGTCACTGTAATTACAAATTATGTATATTTGATGTCTAAGGGCAGTGTGACCCTCACTGCAGACAAAACACAGTCCAGGAAGACCTGGCTCATGAATAGCTTAAAACACACACACACACACACACACACACAGAGAGAGAGAGAGAGAGAGAGAGAGAGAGAGAGAGAGAGAGA